AAAAAATGATTATAACAGAGTCTCAATTGATTTGATATTAGAAGAAAAAAAAAATCACATGTTCCCTACAATTTTTACATGATCACAACTTACTCATAAAGTTTATTTCACCATACTCCATCACTCAAATCTAAGCTATTTAATAAATTTGTTCGTACACTTTGAAAAAAAAATGTCCAATCTTATGTGAACTAAGTTATATAGTGTAGAGTACCGGTAAATGGCTACAATTTGAAGGGATTGAATTACAATAAATTGAACTTTAAGGATTAAGTTGGCAACTAAATAATAAAAATTTTAGGGTTTAAATGAATAATTTTTCCTGTAAGATTTAATTTAATGTGAGTTTTTATTAGTATTATTATTGAATAATACTTGAATATTACACTCCTTTTGGTCCTAAATCTAAAACTTAATTAACTAATTGATTAAATTAAGAAAATTGGTTAAGATAGTTATTTGTAATTACAGTGTAAATAATGTCTCCTAAAATATATCTGTTTTAATGAGGATATTAAATATATATATATATATATATATGGGGACAAAGAGAATGAGAAAAATCGTGAAATTAATTAAAGATTAATTTTTTTAAAAATATTTTCTGTTTCCTGTACAAAATTTAAAAGTCTGTTTTATTTGTAATATGAACTAAAGTTAGAGTAATTATTTTTTTTTAAATTTATTTATTTTTATTTATTATGACTTGAATTCTTAAATAATAATTTATTACCGTTGTTAATAACAGAGAAGGAACGAGTTAAAAAATTACAAGGGGACAAGTATTAGACAGGGGAGAGGGAGAGGGAGCCAAAGTGGATTGGGAATTTGTTTGAAAAGGAGAAAGGAGCAGAAGACGACGAGAGGAAAGGGACAGAAGCATAAAGGTAGGAAGTGGAACAAAGGAAGAACTAAACGACAACTCACCGCCTTTTCCTCTCTCTCTCTCTCTCTCCCTCTCTGCTTCGCGACAAATCTAACTGTTGCTTTCCTTCCTCTTTCCTATGCTCTCTCTCTCACTTCCTCTCTATCATCTCTCTTCCTCCTGCCACTAATAATAACTATTATTATTATTATTACTACATTCATGAGAAAAAATATTACAAGTACTCCTCCTTTCCTGATTATTCTTCCCATCCTAATGTATAAAGAATTTTTTTTATAAAATTACATATGTCAATAAAATTTATTAAATATAATTTACAATATTATTTTTTTAAAAAATATCTTTTATTAACAGAAGAGAGAGTAAAATAAATTTATTTAAAGAGTGAAATAATAAAAGGTAATAATATTGAAATAATTATTATTAACGAAGCATTGATTTTTGTCAAAATATCTTATATTTGACTTTTTTATCTTGTCCTTTATTAAAATTAATCATTTCAATAAAGTATATATATGAAATATAAATTGGTACATGGATGTTTCCTACATCTATACCCTGTATCTAAGATTAAATAGAAATTTAAAATTTTATTGTAATTAGGACACAGTAAGTAGTATATGGCTTTGTTTGAGTAGTCCGTGCATTCATGACATTTTCTGACACTAAGGATTAAATGATTACAATTTCAAACGATCTCCCCTTGCTCACCATAGTTCTCCATGAAACAAATGTTAAAACTATTTTATGTTCATATATGAAAAACCTAATACTCTTTCTGTCAAAAAATATAAAATATTTTTGAAGGAATTACATATTAAAAAATATAAGATATTTTTAATTTTTTAAAATATAATCATTATCTTTTTTTTAAAGTACTCTTATTAATGAACGACTTTATATTTATTGTAAGTTATTTAATAAAGATAAATATAAAAAGATAAATTAATTTAAAAATAAATAATTATTTTATTGGAGGATAAAATTTAATCAAAAATATTTTATATTTTTAAACGGAAGAAATGTGTGTGTGTGTATAATAGATAGTTGAACAGCAATTACGTATGGGTAATTCAATTAGTATAAGTATCGTGGGCCCCTTCCTACATTGCTTAATTAATTAGGCCTTACATGTTTCGCTTACAAGTGAATACAAATTAAATTTGCGTATTCACCAAAAAGACACAATATGTACCAAACCAAAATGATGAATTCTCCTGACAGAATACTATATGACTTAATACCATTAAGAGATCTTTAATTAACTTCTTCACAATTGCGTGTTCATTCATCAATTCCTTATCAAGGTTTTATTCGTATGAGATACGCGCACTCTTTGAAACTACCATTAAGTGAGCTCTAGATATATCTTTTTTTTTTTCTTCCCTTTTTCTAGGGTCTGATAATTAAATATTGTTCATGTAGCTAGGTTGTTTATGATTTTATTAAATATAAGCATATAATAGGGAAGAGAAGAATCTCATTAATTCAATGAAATAGTTAGTTTTTAATTAAATGAGCGATCCATGATGGATTGGAAAAATGAGACTCTACGTTAAATATATACCTATAGCTTTTAAAGGAAAATATCTTTGAGCATCAATGGAAACTTTTGTATATTGCTGGACTACGAGGACGCATGAAGTTATCAGGAAATAGAATAAATAAATGGGGACACATGCAAGATGTTGAGGGAATTAAAGGTTGAAGAGAGAGTCAACAACCAACATTATCAATAAGGGAAAGGGCAAATTAATGTGAGATCATTTTATACATATGACAATGTGAGAGTAAGACACTTTGCAAAATGTCAGCAACATTAAATTTTTTTTCTGGAAGAATTGCAACCATATCCCACATAAAAAAAATTAATTATTACTAAGTTCATTGATAATTCAACTAAATTGTATCAACAATATTATTAATACAATTTAGTTAAGTTATCAATAAATCTTACAATAATTAATTTTTTTGTGTGAGATTTCAATGTAATTCTTTCTTTTTTATATGCATGCCCTTATTAATTATTTCCTCCATTAAAAAAATATAAAGCATTTTTAACTGAATCTCAACCCTTAACAAAATAGTTACCTACTTTTAATTAACACTATTTTTCTATATTTACTCCTATTAAACACCTTATAATAAATATAAAGTCATTATCAATAAATATTTTTAAAAAAAGACAATGATTACATTTCAAAAGATAAAAAATGCCTTATATTTTTAAATATCTAACTCCTTAAAAATGTCTTATATTTTTAAACAGAGAGAATATATTGTACAGAGCGATTATATAAAAAAATAAAGATAATTAAGATATATTGATTTTAATTGGAGGATATTCTTAGAAATAAGTAATAACTTTTTATTAATTATTAATACAAACCACTTTTAACTATTTTTTAATTCTTATCAAGTACTTCCTCCTATTCCATTTATAAGTCATGTTTTAAAAAATTCATTTGATTCTATTTATAAGTCATAGTGTGGCTTTTTAAGTAATATTTAAAAGATATCTTTATAATTACACTTCATCAAAAAAAATAACATGACATTACTTTTTAAATTTATTATATAAGAATATATTTAAAATTTTACATAATTTTATTTTTTTTATTTTTTTATATTGATATTGATAAGATTAATAAAAATAATTTATAAAAAAATAGAGGAGTGATTAAAAGTGTCATATATGATATTTGTGGTAACTAAAAAGTGAAGGGGCGTGCCCATGTGAATGAATTGAATGTAAAGTAGAGGGGAAGCATCCGCATTCGTCTTGTTTTTTGGTCACTTCACTTTCCCTTTCTTAACCTGTCCTTTCTTGCAAACATATCATTATTCTATTATTATTATTATTATTATTATTATTATTATTATTATACTCATATTTTCTAGTTGCGAGAATATTTTTTAATTAAACTATTTGATACTCCTTCCGTCACCATCTATGGGAGAATTGGAGGAAGTTAATGATGTGGTTAATGCATTTTTCCTACGCTACCATTGATTTGATTATCTTCAATTAATTAAAATGGTGAAGTATTTTTTTAAAAAATAAATTGTGACATATTTAAATAATTAATCAACAAAACTAAATTATGTATTGGGAAAATTAATTATTTATTTCTTATATTATTGATCTTAGTTCCCAATATATTATTGTAAACAATGAACCTTGAACTATTTTTCTCCCTGTTGAAGAATATCATTAAAAGGACCCTCGTACAGCAACTAATTATGAAGAGATTGCAAAACATTCATTGTTTCTGGTCGGTTGAGTTGTCCCACTTGGATCAAGCTTATATGACTTTATAAGAAAACAGATTCACAATTGTATAATCCCAAAATACGTGCCATGCCTAGTGCAGGAAAGAGGGGGGGGGTAGGGGATATGTGCTATGTTTTTAAAGTACAAAATTATATTGGAAAATAAAATCAAACAAGCCTTAACTAACCTGATTTTCTTAATTTGCAGTATGAATTAATTAAGCAATTCTTATATTTAGAATAAAGGAGAAAGTGGTCGCCGGATTTTGAAATTTGTGAACCACAAGTTATGTTGGAAAGTTAGGGGGGCACGCGGAATCACGTCGACACAACGCGCATACAAAATCGATCACTTTCCGACATGAAACTATTCGTATCATATTTGTAGTTTTTTTTTTTAATTCCACGACTTACTATTCTAAAAAGACCTGGGTATTATCATATTTATGGTATTTTTTTTTATTCCATAACTCGCTATTCTGAAAAACATGAGGTATCATCATCTCTTGCCATGATTAATCAGAACCCTTACTTAATTTTACTTAGTCATACTTATTTTTAGCATTTTTTTGATTCCATAACTCACTATTTTGAAAAACATAAGTATTAATTACCACATCTTGTCAAGATTAATCAAAACTCTTGCCATATAGGACCGTCATTATCAACAACAGACTCTACATCCCAAAAAAAATTAATTCAATTTTCTCAACCAAATGTTAACTCCATTTTTTTGGTCAAAAAATGTTACTCAGTTTTACAGTATTTTAAACTTGCTTGGAATGAAAAATACGTAAGCCACGAGACTGTGAAACAAAACAAATTAAAAGGGCAGCCGGTATTTCCTCAAAATAATGAATAAACGTGAAGACAGGAATGCGCCCCTGCCATCTTATTCAAAATCATTATCCGATTAATTCATAAATACCTATTACCTATTCTATGAATATGATCATTATAAAATTACATTCACTTTATACGCAAAACTTAAAAATTTTAATATATCATTCTTTTCCTTTTCCTAGAACATCCCCCGAGTTCCCCTCCTTTCCCTAACGGTCTTTTCTCTCTCTCTAACCGTCTTTGACTTGACTCCCCCGGGGGGCAAGTGGTCTATTTACATCTCTATCCAACCTAAAAACGCCTTATTCCATTCTTGTCCCCTCCTCAGTTCCGTTCCGCCGCCGCCAGTCGCACACTGGAGGGCAGCCTATGTTCTGAGCTCTGACCATCGGAATCTCCGTCTTCTTCAAGCCTAACAACGACAGATTCCTCGCCGTTCCTGCTTGAATCCAAGCTTGACTTGAGCTGATGAAAGCTCGGAACCAAAACTTTCTCTATCCATTCCTCTATGTTCGTTTGGCCTAACCATACTCCACCCGTGATCTTTCCTAAAGCCTCCTCTTGGACTTCCAGGGACAGCCCGCTTCCGATAATCGTCGAAAATCTCTTCGTGATCGTGGCTGAGAAACTCCGGCGAATCAAGCCAAAATCCACCGGCTTGAATACAATGGCATCGTCTACTGCATCCAGCAGGTCGTGGGTTATGCTGGGCGACCTTAGATTATGATCAAGTACCCTGTTATCTTCGTGATCTACCGTTAGGTCGCTGGAATTCAGTGATCCGTCTGCCCTGTCTTCCTCTACATCTGCAGCTTCGTTTAGATCAAAAGCTAAACCAGCACCCATCTCCTTCCGAGGTTTTGTGGATCTGTCTTCATCAGAAAACCAACTGGGTCTACGTTTTGATGTTCCTTTTAGATAGTGATAGTCGTAATTGCCAATTTCCTTTTGCCAAATTTGCAAGCTTTTCTTCGTCAAGTGAACTGCCATTGGACAGATATTTGAGGTTATCAGGCAACCAATTTGCAGTGAGGATGAACAAGACGTTGCCCACACTAATTTCACGGCCATAAGAATCAGAGAAGCGACCTCGCTCCATGGCTCTTTTTATGCTCCCGCGCAGGAGCATGTCTGCTTCATCAATATCCTCGAGCATGATGACAGAAAACGGATTCCTTCGAATGGCCTCTGCAATTCGATCAAGAGCAGTTTTACCACGACGATGGACACCTGATAATTCTCCATCATCCCCACCTCGTGGTTTGAGAGAGATTATTATTGGGTTCGACCTAGAAACCAGCTCAGAAAGAGCTCCCGCCATCTTCTTCTTCCCTACTCTGTCTGGACCCATGAAAAGTAACCATATGTCACCCTTCGTGCCACCACCGCGCCTTTTCCCATTGCCCGTTTTACATTGGGTCACGGTTGTGGCCACAGCAGATGCTGCATCATGCTGCCAACAGACCTTCTCAGTGAGACCTTTGAGGAGATTCTTGAAGGAGTCAGCATCAAGTAGTTTCTTGGTCTGTAATTCACCGAACTTGTCCTGAGACTCAGAAGACATGCAGCCCAAGAAATCCTTAATGTGCTCTTTATGATTTTGTTCAGGATTGTTATCAGCAGCCTTCATTTGACCGAGGGCTAGATCGGTTGTTACTGGACTTCTGGGGGGACTAGCCACCCGTTGCAATGGCTGAATGGGTATTGGACTTGGGCTCAACTGCAAAGAGCTTTCCAGATTTTTGTTGAGAGGTGATTTATGTTGAAATTGGCGTCCGATCAAGTTGGGATTGTACAGACCCATCATTGAGAAAGGAGAGGGAGTAATTCTATCTGAACCGAGGTTTTGTTGCTGATGAAACTTTGGATGTAAATGCAAGCAAGTATCATGCCATTTATTCTGCAGCTCTTGAGTCCTCCTCTTCATCACTTCTTGGCTATTACTCTATTAGAAGAGAAATCAAAACAACAGTTAAGCCATCTATATCTTCTGGGACCTGCCCAGATAAAAGTGAAGTAGCAATTAGTTCATTAAAAGACGATTTACCTGAGTCTGATCATCGCTTGTTTTCGCATTCTGCAACCACTGTGGAAGTGGTGGCCTAGCAGCCTCGGCTTTGACCTCAGAATCAGATTTCTCAATTTCTTTCACCATATCTGCGACTTCTTTCTCATAGTTCTGCATACATTGTGGGCAACAGGTTGCTGTACGAGCAGGATCTACACTCTCTGAGACACGCTTAGGCTGGGTGATTGCAGCTGATGAAAAGCCCTTTAAAGGGGAAAAAGACTCAAGTGAGCTACCAAGAATGCCGTTGGTCCCAAGCCTATAATCATCAGAAAATCAAAATGATTACACAGAACATCGCCAAGGCTTTAGCTTTTACTCAAACAGCAAGCAAAGCTAAATGTCTTCATGCTTCTACATCCTCAACAGAATACATGGGAGTTAAGAAGCCCAAAACATATAAAACTCCAAATTGACCGAGTTTCTGATTAACAAGAATGAAAATTCTGAACAGAATTTGCATGTCAGATGGCATTAAATGAATAGTTCCACAAGACCTGAAACACCGAAATTTACGATTATATTTGAGGGAGCAGAGGAAGAAATACCTCGGAAATATGCCCGGGAGAGGGGCTTTAGTGGTTATAGGCACGGCCTGCAAATCCCAATCATTTTCCATGGAAGGATGATAAACCTGACACTCAAGTAAGTTTCACAAGTAGCAGTTCCCAGCAACCAAAGACGACCTGAGGCACCTTCTCCGAACTTCGTCACCAATCGACCCATCTCTGAAACCGAAGCACGCCCAGCCTCTGTAAGTGCCTGTTGCTGCATATTGCTCAAACCAGAAGCTCCGAAATCCACAGATTGTTCAACCAGCCACTTCAAGTTACCCAAATTAACGAGAACAGAACCTGTCTTAGAGTTACCCATTCTAGTCTCAATGAAATCTCCCAATTCCTTAAGCTTTGCAGGGATTTGAGCTCTATCGGAAGGAAGCTCCTTCTCCAAATAAATCACATGAACATTGGAAAAAGGTCCCTCGCCCAGCTCCTTACTCTCAATTCTCCTTAACAATTCTCTTATCACAGCTTCTGGCTCTGATTCTCCCACTAAAACTGGATTCCTCTTCTTGGTTCTCAACAATATATCGATAATCCGTTTCACTTCTTCACCCCTTTGCTGTCCCAATTGGACGGAACTCCCCTGTTGGAGCCTGGGATTTAAATATAAATTCCGACCCGGCGCCCCTGTTGCGACCGGTGTCACCGCCGTAGGACGGAATCCCAATCCGATCGAACTCGAATTGACGGCCGGAGACGATGAATTCAGCGACTGTTCGATCGTGGCTTTAACCGCCGGGCTGGAGAAGCTCGCTTCTCTCATGACTCTACTAACGCTGGGGTCATCGAGTATGGATATGATAAGCTGTTCAAGTTCAACTTTCACGGCCAAAAGAGGTTGCTGCTGCTGCTCGGGGCAGCCACGGCGTTGGTGAGCTTGAGCTCGCTTCAGCGCAGCCATTAAAGCATTGGAAATTGGAGGCTCCATGCCGGGACTCATGTTCTGAGCCGTCGGTAATCGCTCTAGCGCAACGCTGAAGCAGAGCTCGAGGGCCCTGCACTGAAGAGGATGAGATGAATTGGGGTGGGATTTGATACAGGCCTGGCGAAGGAAGCCAGACGGTGAGGCCAGAAGCGTTGCCGCCACGTGAAGCGGCGTCGTCTGGCCATGGTTGCGACGGCCCGCTTCGGCGATCGAATGATTAAGAACACTCGCCGCCTCGGGCGTTAGGGTTTGTTGGATCGTGCTTAGACCGGCTCTCATTTCACAAAGAGAATTGTGAAGAATCTAAAGTGTCCAGCCGGAAAAACCGAAATCAAGGAAAAGTTTTTATGAGGAAAGACGGGAATTTGTTTGTCTGGTATAAAAAAGAGAAGAAGGAAGAGAGAAGAAGGAAGAAAGAAGAAGGAACCCGGAAATGAATCTTGTGGAAGCCTTTCGGCTTGGCTTTCTGGGGTACTTGACTTTATGGAAAAAGCTACGTATGTGTGAAATTCACACTTCTGAGCTAAAAGCCCACCAGCCAGAAAACGAGATTAATGGGGGAAGAAGATAACAACATTTCGATAATGGACAAAATCGCATTTTCAAGGTTGGCAAAACAAATCACAGAGAAGCTTTTACAAACACAAACAAAATCAAGAAAGTAATAGCTTATCTCCTTTAAGTTTCTTTCCTACGGGATCTACTTTCTTCCCTTCAGGCGTGTGACCCCAAAAAGCTAGTTGAGAATTCAAAGCGAAAAGGAAACATCAGATCCCCCTCCCTCACAAGATCATCCCCACTCCTTCTCTCTCTTATTCCTCCACTTTATAAATCTACGTCGGAATAAATGTAGAAATTACAAGCGCATCAACACGGGAAACAGAGGGGGTAAAGAGAATTGAGGGGCGGTGAAAAACGTTAACCCAAAGCTAATTTTATTTTAATTACAAGCGCAACAAGAACAGAGGGCGAGAACTTTGGGAAACAAAGAGGAAAGATTAGCAAGAGAAATGAAGACAGAGGAGGAGATAATTTGTAGTGAACAGAGAATTGATTGATGAAAGTACTATCAGTTGCAAGGATTTCTGGAAAAAGCTCTCTGGGCAGAGCAATCTGCTCTCATTTTTGTGTCATGGGTTTTTTAATTCTTTTATTATTTATATTACCCACCACCCTCCACCTATTTATTATTTTTTTGCTTTAAAGGTAAAGCCGAATTTGTCTCGACTCAATAGATTAGATTGGAGATAATTAAGAGAGAGAGAGAGAGAGAGAGAGAGGCATGTGGTTTTAGGGAGGGAAAGAGATGTGAAAAGAAGATGATGATGGGAGGAGGGGAGAGAGAGAGAAGAAGAAGAAAGAGTGTGTGTGGTCTTTGGATTGACTACCTTTTAATCTCTGGCTTGTTTTGTTTTGTTATTTGTTGCTTGAGACTGTAATAAAAATAAAAATAAAAGGAGGATGAAGACGCGCGAGGGGAAGGTGGAGAAGACGACAAAAGATGAATTGGAAAGTGAAAGGCACGCGCGAGGGGGAAGGAAGAAAGACAGAGAGTGTAGTATGCGTGTGTGTGAAAGAGAGTGAGTGAGTCCTCAAAAAAAATTGCCTTTGAAACCAATTTTGTGCTTTTTACACGCAACAGCTGCAAAAGGTATCGCACGACTTTCACCTTTTCATACTTAACTTACTTTTCTCCCTCTCTCTTACTTTTTCTCTAATCTTTGCAGTACGTGATCGTTTGGCAACTTACCATTCCCACTTGAAAAAGGACACTCCTTTTCCCATTATTCCCCGGTAGATTCAAATATTAAAATAACAGTTAAAAGTTTAATTACTTTCTTTTTTTCTTAAAAAAAAAAGAAAAATGTTCCTGAAAAGTCTCACGTTCACTCTCTTGCAAATAATGAAGTCATTATTTTCAGTTTAAAATATAAATATTTTTTATTTAATTTTAGCTTAAAATATAAATAGGACAGGATAAAGTTTTTGATGTTAAATTTTCACCTCCATTATTTGTTTCTGCTATAAGCTTGTTAACAAAATTATGCAAGAAATTTCAATACACACACAATTTACAAGTCACACTAATGATTATAGATTTACCGTGCAGACATGTAAGGGTGTTCAACTTTATATCCATCCCGATTGATTTTACTTCATCCCGATCATATTAGAATGAGTCTTTTCCAACTTAAAAAAAAAAATTGGGACAAGACTTTGATGGATAGGATGGACAAAGAATTCTAGATGAGTTATGAGATTGCCTTCGAGACCTCTCATCCTGAATATTATACATATTATTTTTATTTAAAAAATATATATTAAATTTACTAGTTATATTAATATAATTTATATTTATATTAAATATAATTTCATTACATGCAATTCATATTTGAAACTAAAAGTTTTTATATTGATAATTTTAATGGTGCAAAGTAAACAAGACAAGGTAATCTCTTTTTTTACAATATATCAATTATATTAATACAAGTTATTCTTATATCTATCTATTTTATAATCTTTATTTGTATTATATTTTTTGCCTTATTTTCAAAATAATTACTGGCTTAACATAGCTCAACTAAAGAAAAAGACAATGACTTGATCACTACTAGAAAATGTGAATCAGCAAGGAATTGTTTATTCCTCTATAAAATGCCAAATCAGTAATGAAACTAGCAAGTGATATTGATTTTATAGCTAAACCTAAAATTAGAGAGGAAAATAACGAGCAAATATCAATCCCTCTCTAACATGAGATAATTAGCAAGAGACTGTCAATTACTGTCTAAAGCAAGATAATTAGTGAGAGGCTATCATTCTTCTCTAAAATTAGATTATTAGAGAGGAATTTTATCTCTAGCTAGTTATTGTGAAAAAAATTAACTTTTAAAAATAAATTTTAATTCATTATATGTTTAATTATTTTCATTAAAAAATAAAAATCAAATTTAAAAAGTAACTAAAATATTCACAATAAAGTTATTTATATTTAATATTTGCTTTGTTTCAAGTTCATTTTCCTTAAAGAAGTAAATATTTTTATTAAAAGATATAATACAAAGAGTCATATAAATACAAATATAAATATTTTAACATATTAATAATTAAAAATAAAATATAATGTGTGTGTGTGTTTTTATAATATATTACTTAATATATCTTTATAGTTAAATAATATATATTTAATTTTTATATAATGACTGTAAGTGCATTTCGATTCAATTTAAAAAAAAAACAAAAACATAAGGCTTGAGAAAGGTATCATGTCAAAAGTTCAAGTCTTGACCTTTACATAAATATAATGAATATGTGACGTAGCGATAAGATAGTGATGTAGCAGAAGGTACAGGATGACATTGTATGAAGCGTTGTACATGTGGCAAATGGCGAGGCATAAGATGGTGGATGGCATGGCATGAACTGACCCATGCATAACTAGTAATGAGGCAATAGTGATGTGGCATTAAGTAGCTATTTTTAAATATAAGCATGTTTAGCGAGAGATTAATGAAGGGATCAAATTCCTCAATAAACAACCCTTGCTAGATTAGTGAAGGAATGCATTTTGTTACTAAATTTAGCAAAATTGATTTTTGCAATGCTAAATTTCATTTAGCAAGGGATATATGCCATCTCTTGGTAAACTAATTTTTTCTAGTAATGGATGTCGTCCTTAGTTTGTCTATTATTGTTATTCTTATAGTTTAGAGATCATTTGTAATCACTATCATAATGTTTTATATCTCATATATTTGATTTTAAATAATACACTTAAAGTTATTATTGATATAATTTAATAATTAACTTTAAATTGTTGTGATTTATGCACTCATATTATTTTGATTTTAAATTTAATAAGTGTGTGATTTAAAATTTTAATAAATAATATTATTCAAGCTTTTCTTTTATATTATTACTTTATTGGAGTGACGAGAAGTCCCAATCTCATTTCATGAGATAGGGAAGGGAAAAAATTTAGCATTGGTCATTTTTCAGGATGGAGTCGTGAGATAGGAGTGTCCCAATTCCATTTCATCCTATAAACACCCTACAGACATGCATGTTAGATGTGTTTTCTTCTTTTTACTGCTTAGTACTCCTTCCAGTTTATAATATAAAATATTGATAACTATTTCATGATTTTTTTAAAAATATGAGCCGAAATTTTTAATCTATCAAAAAATGATACATCTTTTTAATTATACTCTTGTTAATTTTGTTAAATAAGTGTGGTGATGATAATAATAATGATAATAATTGAAATGATGATGATGATGATGATGATGATAATTGAAATGATATATAAAAAATAATTACAATTGAAATTCTAATGAATTATTTTAAAAATAAATAAAATAATGGTATGATTAAAAAAATTATAAAAACTATTCAATAAAATTTGAACCCAACAAAAACGGTTGAAAACGTCCTATAAAAAACAGTTCATAAAATTTGAGCAGATCATAATGAAGAAAGGGCATCAAATTATAAAGCTAAATTGATTGAATGAGAGTGTTGTTTTGACGATAGAGATGGTACTAGTTTAGAAAGGGAAGGGAGGAAGGGATATTAGCAGAAATAGGAGTGTCTTAATCAGATGCAAGGGACTCCATAATCATCATCCTCTCTCCTTAAATTTTCTCACGGGTTGGGTGGATGTCTACTTAGTGGCATTAATGACACTTTGCCTGTATTCGTAAACGAAAGCATACATAACCTCATTCTTCTGCCTCTTCTAACGCATATCACATTACTGTTCGACTCGTGTTTTGCCTCCGCGATAACGATCGCCACATTATTACCTACTCCAGTTTTTTTTTTTTTTTCAATTTCAATTATTTAAATAATAAACCAAACTTACTAATTGTGTGCATGGTCTCTCTCTCTTTTTTTATCGTGATGCATACATTATCCTTGCTTAATGTCGACATCGAGTTCGAATACAAGGCCTCTTCTCAACGAGAGAGCTACCGGTACCATTTGAATAACTTGCTGTTAACATATGTGATCCCCTATTCATAAATACACTTGGTTGCATTTGGAAAAAAAGATTAAGATATAAATTTCAAATAGTGCAAACAATGCTGAAAAATGTATTTTTATTTTCAAATTAAATAATAAAACTAAAAGACCAAAGTGCCCCTCAATATAACCGGCTGATCAACAGGAGAGAACCAAAGAATAAGGAGGACAGTCATTGAGGAGGAGGACAGTGTAAGTGACGGAGGATGTGCATAATTCATGAAAGGTCAAAGAAATGTGTTTAGTAAGGTATTTATTTCGGTGTTTATTATAAGGTACACCTAATCAATTAATTGAAATCAGAATGAGATGGTCAAGTCATTGATTCTACTTGAAAATATAAAATAAAATAAAATTTCAATCCTGCCTGCATTTAAATCCATGTATATTGAGAAAATAATAAACTTTTTCAAGTATGCATCACGTTCTCTTCATATAGTTAATAACTTTAAGCAAGGATAATCTTGAGAAAAAAAAAACCAAATCCGATGACTTATAACAATGATCACCTTGTTTTAGAATGTGACTTATAACAAGAATATGAAAATAATATACAAAAAATAAAAAAAAAACTTATGCATCATATTGTCCTACTGTGCATGCAAGTGCAACTAATTAAACGTACCTTAAGCATTCATGAAATAGATTGTGAGTGTAATGTCCCATGTAGCCAGACATATTCTTTACAAGTGGTAATAGTGATTGACAAAGATATAACGTAATGTGATCGTTAATTAACCAATTGATTGGATTTGACCTCGAGGAGGAATTTATTATTGATTGATGAATTAAGAGAGAAGAAGAGGAGGAAGAGGAACAGTCGTGGAAGTGGTTGAGTCAAGATAAGGGTGTGAAAGGAGAGGAAGAGGTTGGCGCGTTGAATTAAATGCGAAGAAAATGGTTAGGGCCAAACCATTCACAACGCTAGCCGGCCAATTACCCCTTTCATTAAATTCGCCCACCACAATTTCAATTTCTCTTCTCTTCCATGTACCCCACCACACCTTCGTCCTTTCTCTATTTTATTTTTTTCAAGAGTAATAAATACATTAGGATCCGCCATAAATAAATAAATAAAGAAGGCCCTCTTTCTTTAATTTGTTACTCCTC